TAAAGCATAATTTTACTGACGTGTGATATTAGCAAAGATATTGCATTGCACTGTGTATATTAAATATGTAATTACATGCCTAAAATTGAACGGTATAGCAAAATAACAGTAATAACTCTTGACTTATAAGAGTTCACTTAAAGGACATGTACATTTTCCAGACTCATCATAGAGTTCATAAAGCAAATAATCATGGAGACTTACCTTTTACTACTGTTTATTAATCTTCTTCACAATTTCTCTGTAAGTCATTTAATCATTTTGACCAGTCCTCTGTTTCCGTGCTCTACGCTGTTAAAAATAAGCCTCTTGTCTTTTAGATAACACATGTTTAGGTTACCAACTAATGTCTCAGTAATGATGCACCGATAGCAAAAGGATACAAATATTTTGGTGTCTGTTTGACAGAGCAAAACACATTGCAGATAAGAAGTGAATGGACAAGCTATTGATGCCTCTGCCGCCATTAAACAAATAAAGGGGCTGTTTGGATACATCAGGCTTATCTGAAAGTGCTGTAATCGAAATGGATTGTGTTCAGCCCAAGAGCTTACCCTCCCAAGTGCAATGATAGCAACAGTGGACTGTACACGTGAACCATGTTTTTTCAGCAAGAGCAAGAGCAGACAGTGACGACTTTGGCTTTGCAAGTTAGGAAAGTCTAGAGTGATGGATTTGAACAGGGCTTTTTTTATCTAAGCACCACTTTAGGGCAACTTCCTGTAGACCAAAGAACTCACATTGTCCAAAGACATTCTGTAACAGCACTTGCCTCCTCCTTCAGAGATGCAGGGTCTAGATGGTGGGTCTGTTTTGTGTGCATGTAATTTCCTGTGCACCATGTCATTTCCTATGTTCTAGAAAGGAGGTGATTACCACTCTGTCTTCGTCAGTCACTAAAGTAAAACTCCACTGGACCCCCACAAAGAGAGGGAGCAGCAAGGCTGCCATCTAGTGCCTTACACACCGATAGAGTGTGTACATAAGGGGGGGAGAGGAGAGAGAGAGAGAGAGAGAGAGAGAGAGAAGGAAAGAGAGAGAAAGAGAGAGACTATACCTGATTAGTGAAACACTGAAGCTACTGAATGAGGGTATTATAAATGTTTCACCATCAACACATTCAGAACATGTTTAAACTTAACCATTTGAGATATCAACAAATTCCACTTTAAACTAGAGAAAGTGATCTTTCCCACGATGTACCATATGTGTGGACTGTGAGTCGTATTTCCCGGTTAAATTCTAGGCCAGATTTACACTTCATCTACAGAGTCATCTGTATTGAAGCCAATGTATTCAGACGAAGTGTTTGCTGTTTTTCCTACATATTTTTTTTCTTACTTCTGTCCCTTGGTAGCCAATCAGAGGATTAAATGCACCGTCCAGCAGATCCAATCAAAGCGCGAAGAGGCCCTCTCACACCACATAACAAAACACTATTGCTTTTACCACTTCTGAAAGACTTATTTGACGACGGATTTTCAAAAAACAAGATTTTCTTCAAGATGGGTACCTTTCAGGGGCAGCAATAAGGTGGCTAGAGGCACTTCTGAAATGTCTAGAGTGTGATGTGGATCTGTACAGCTAGGCAGAATATACACATCACTAGTACGAGCAGAAACAGAGCTGAGATAAATGCTCACACACCTGTGTAAATATAGACAGCAGAGCATTTAAATGACTTCGGTAAGATCATAAAGTGTAATTCAGATCTTTCATTCAAATTCGTCCCTTCTACACAGTCATCTGAGGCTGCGTTCACATTACCAGGTTGAAGTGGCACATATCCGATTTTTTGCCCTAATGTGACCCAGTCACTTTCATATGCGGTCCTAGATCGGATACATATCTGATTTGTGGCCATGCGACCTTAAAGTGAACAGTCAGATCGGAATTCATGCGCTTTTCTCCCGCTGCGCATGCACCATCATTCAGCGTTACCATGGCAGCAGCGCTGAACAGAAGTTAAAGCCTGTAAACGGTGGAAAAGAAACACATCTCACCTCTTTTACCTTCGTCTCGCTCTAATAATGAAGCTGAGAGCTGATCAGAGTTAATTATCTTCTCAGCGAAGCTCGTTCTGACCGTTAGTCTGTTTGCTGATGATGCACGTGATTCATTCACGTGACGTTACTGAGTAGGATGTGTGCATGAGGGTCATTTCAGGACGCCGGTTCGTTCACGTTAATGACAGATTTGAATCACTTACCTAAACGAGAGTGAACCATCGTGTCAGAGAGATTTGAGCAAAAAATCGGATTTGAGAAATAAGGCTTGTAATGTGAACGTAGCTTGAGTTTGAACATTTGAACTCGCCAGGTGAAATGATTTTTTTTTTTTTTAATGAAAAGTTAACACATCCTCTACAGAGAACAAACCTAAAAATACCATTATCTGCTATTTGTAGTGCACAATTTCAATTTATTAACGGAGTTTTACATACTGGAAAACTATTAAAATGTACAGTAACTTTTGCACAGGCCTCAGTCTTTTTTTCCAATGTTTTAAATTCAAACATATAAACAGCAATTATGCAAGCACAACATCCCTCCATCCTTAAACTGAAACAAGCAATCTGTCAAAGCATCCAACACTAACATGAAATCATATTTAAAAAAGTTAAAAACCTCAGTGCTGAAACCTAAACAGGCCAGACTCGATTTCTGGTCAGTTCAGTTCTATATTTTATTAACAAAGATTTTATTTCAAGGCAGCTGTTTTTGAACTTGCTAGTTTCTAGGCTTTCAAGTAGCATTAGCCAATTATATAACTAGTAATCAGAGTAACTAATTAATATTGTCATTTAAATGATGTGTACTGTGATTGGCTATTTCTCTCAATAAACTACTGAAAACGACTATGGTCTTCCCCAATACTTTCAGGTTGGTACAGATCTACGTGGGTTTTAGAGAGTAACTTATGAGTGAAGCAATAAGTAGTGAGACTGTTCAGAGTCCAGGATGTAATAAGTAATGTAATCCCATTAATTTGTAATGGAATACTTTTTCAAGTCACTACCCCAACACTGCCTGTAACAGTCTACAAGACAGAACACTGAGAATATGCTTTCCAACATCGCACAGAACTAAGGGAGGTGAAGGGCATGAAGTTTAGTTGCTGAGCTTGATCTATACCTGCTTGACAGGGTAATTATTTTGCATAGCTAATTTTGCTCTACAATGTCCATGAAATATAGCTGTGTAGCTAACAAAAATAGTCGGCCGTGATCTACGTCAGCTAGCTTATCATGTAGCACAAGCCAAGAAAAATGGTCTGAGATAGTAGCCTACCTAAAATCATCAAAGCTAACATAAAGTAGCCTCTGTATCAGCTGACGATGGCCAGCTAATCAGCTGTGGCAATGTCCACCCGTCTCATAACTTTATTTGTGACCACTGAATACAACTTAGCTTCCTGTCAGCATTCAAGTGTTCTAGGCATGCATGTCCATGTGTTTTTGTTTGAAGAAAATGCTGAGTTTCAAAACAGCCAGCTTGAGCTAACTTCCATCAGCAACAATGACTCCAACCTTTCAATGTCACTACCCATAAATGAACTACATGACCAAAGGCTCTGGGTTACAGAAGCTGATTTGTGGAATCCACTCTTCAAGCCTTTCACTGGCACGCTCTCAAGGGCATATACGACGGGGCACCTTGCTTGGGCAAGTCTGATCATTTCCTGACAAAAACCTTTTTCATTAAAACAGCAGACCAGCTCAAACTGGTGCATAACCTTTACCTTGAACATCACGATTCATTTGATAAAGATCCGAGTTGACGTTATTCAATTTTGGCCAAATAAGCAGCACACAGACTCCAAACCTCCTTTATAGATAAAGACATGGATACATGTGTGTTACTTTACCACAAGCTATCTAACCGTTCAGCTACTGGATCAGCAGCATTACAACATACCCCATCTGTACACTCACACACACATGCGCAAAAGCAGCAGATGAAACTGAATAGTATAAACAACAGTTGTCTATTTAACCCTTAGAAGTCAGTTATAGATAAATAAAGCATGACGTAAAATTTCTCACTCACAGCTCAATGAAACGAGCTACCGAACGTAGAGAAAGTGAAGATTCTAAACTTTCACTCTGAGTAGAAAATGACATTTCTTGTGATTTTGTCTTGTAGAAAAGTTACTGTATGTTTTTAATTATTGCCAGGATTTCAAAATATATATAACAGTTAACTTTTTCCTTTTTATTAATGTGTTATAACTGCTTATTAAGGGTTTTAAAGTGTTTATAACCTAACTAACAACCATGAGCAAACTAATTTTAAATCACTCATAAACGCTTTATAAGGGTAGTCTTATTTTAAAGTGGTACCCAATTTAAAAATACAGGCGAACACAAATACATCATACTACCTTGTGATAGAGACGGCTGTGATGTCACAGTATACAGTTGCTATTGTATTGTTATTTACTGTTAATATGCTACAGTAAATTACTGCAAAACTAATGCAACTTGTAGTTTTACAGTGATATATTTTGCAGTTTTTGTTTGGTGAGAAGGAAAACGTCAACATTTTTACATGTTTTGACATCAGAACAAACAGAAAAAAGTGAAGGCTTGAACTTTTGATGCAGAATATAAATCAAACACAACTGTAATTAATTACTATGCAATTAAATATGTAACTGCATAACTACATTTTAATACTATACCAAAACACAAGTAATAACTCATGACTTCTAAGGGTTGAGTCTGGGAACTGATGGATGCCCTGAGGATTGCTCACATATGGTAGGACATAAATGCTTCCATGTGCTTACTACTACTGTTGATAGAGCTTATGTAAATGGAGCTCATGTTGATGGAGCTCATGTTGATAAATAAAAGTAAACGTCTATCTTTTTCTGAGGTGGTAAAGGGTTTGTGTGTGAATACTATCCCTGACAAGGAGCCTATTCATGTATTTGCATATGGAACATCTGTAATCTCATGTGTGTGAGATGTAGCAGGTGTGACAAGAAATACTTACAGTAACATGTTCCTCTGAGAGGGTTGCCAAGGTAACGGTTCATGGAGTCACAACTATAGGTTAAGAAAGAGAATAACAAGAAGAAAAATTCAGTTTTCAGTTTATCTAAATGCACCGCAGTCTATGGCTGGGCTCTATTGATATATTACATAGTGAATATGTTATATATAGTGAATATATTAAATACAGTGTGAGAAACCTTTTTAACTAAAACTATATGTAAATGTTATATGTTATGTATATGTTTTACACAACAGTTGCTAATTGTTAATTTCAGATGCTTCAGACAGTATTCGACTGATGTCATACTTGTCGCCGTCACCACATTGTTGACATTCAATCGCCCAACAGTATTACTCGAAGAGCTGCTGTTTGTACACTGTTACGTAATAAAGCATCCTGACAGATAGAATATAGCCATGGTGAGCTGCGTGGTTCAAGTTTGGAGTAACAACAGTAACAGCAACAAAATGGTGTAAGCTTTTACAGCGTTCCCAGTCGTCCGAAGCCTTGAGGGGAAAGAGGCTGAGTGGCTGAACCAGAGAAGGAGAAATCTTTGGACAGTGAGAATAAACAAGAAAAACTTTCAGACATCTCCCCACACCAAAGTCATATAATTTCATCACAGGTAGACAGTTTGGTTAAGGGTGAATACTGTGGTTCTGATCATTATCGGATGTTTGCGATTAACAACTGACAAGAATTGATGATGGACTTTTCGCAAGCTAGTTATGTCTGCAATCTATTTCTGGCTGACAAAGCATGCAGACAACGCCAGAACGTTAGCAGGATTCGTGTAACTTAACGGCAAGCTAACATTGACTAACCTAATCAAACATAACAACAACATAAAAAACAAAAAAAACCAAAAAATAATTACCTGATTCTAGCCATTTGTACGCTTTTAGCTCCTGCAATGTCCACGCTGATGCAGTTTATACAAGGTAATTATAGATGTTTGAATATGTTATTGTGGGCAATAATGCATAATCGGGGCTCAAAGACAGCTTATCAATTTTATCAATCTGACTGAGGTGCCTTTTTCTTCATATCTTGATTTAGAAGCCATTGCAATTTCTAAAACATTAGATAAAAAATCTAAAAATACTCTGGCAAATAATTTAAATCCACATAGTATAAGTTATCACTGTATATAAAATAACAAAAAAATGTTAATATGGCAAGTGATTCAACACTTTCGAACGGCAGTGTAGACAGATATACAGATACACAGTCAGATGTGTGGATATGGATTAAAAGGAAAATTGTGATTTGTGGAATGTATAAATTTTGGGAAATGTGTAATTATCCTCTCTAATATGTGATATAAACTGTTATTACTGACTCAATAAGTACTATATCATCTGCTAATACGTTACGCTCCCTTCTTAAAAATCTGACTCTCTGAAATTCAGTTATCTTTATACTAAAATATTTTGGTAAACAGGTAAATGACTTTTCCAAATGAAAACACTAAACCTTTCCCATGAAATGAATTAGTTAAAAATGCTCCCTTACGAACGACCGTCAGCTCAACAGAGGTGTTGACATTTTGAGTGCATGTATATGGCCTGTTCCTAAATATTCCTGAAAAAGGGGTTTTATAGTTGAGCACTACAGATGCCGAAGGTAGCATCACCTCTGTGGGTGTGTATGAAGCGATTGCAGTGGACATGTTCATCTGGCGATCTCGTATTTAGAGCCTGAGGAGGGTGATGTGTCTGTTCTGGAGCTTTTTAGTCGTATTCATTCTGACAGAGCTAACACAAAACACCTTCAGCTAAAAAGCAGGAGCACAAAATGCTCACCAAACTTGAGCCAGTATGCAAATGCTGGACAACATGTAAAGTGAAAGAGGAATGACAAGCACTATTTGGACACTGTTTTAACCCCCTTGTTATTTCCGTCTAATGGTCTAATCTGATATTCTCACACTGAAACAAAGAAATTCTGTGTGAACTCTTAATAGCATGTTTGTTTTGTAGGTAGCAGAAGAGATATTTTATTAAAATGTTATTAAAAATTGCTTTCACCTATTATTACTCTTACCAAAGTTTTATTGCCAATATTAAAATTTGAATGCAAATACCAAAATGAAGTTTAAACTCACTTTGCGATTTCATTTTAATGGCTGGTGAAAAAATATTGAACGTAAAGGTATTCACCCTCTCTCAGAGAGAAAGAGGAAAGCTGGGCATGGAGTTAAAGAAGGTTAGTGAGAAGCAGACTTCGCAGTAGCTCATCTGGTTCCATTTAAATCCAAGTTCATCACCGCCATGTAAACACTATTGTTTATTTCTTATAGGTCAAAAAGCCAAACTTGTAGGTTCAAAACTCCATAAATACACATCCTGCTTTGATCAACTGTTGAAGCACATATGATTAATCCCTTAAAGGACTTGTTGATGGCCCCAACCTCCATTCCTCACTCTAATTATTACATTCCTTTCATAGCTTCATAGTAGCTGCAGAGTAATTCATAGTATTTACTTAATATCTGAATCATTACCTGATATTTATAAGGTTAATTACTAACTCTTTTCCCAAAATCAGTAAATTATAGGATGCGTGACAGAGTACAGGAGGGAGGGTTTAAGCAGTACTGCAGTCCTGATGTAATAATACTTCAGTGAAAATCCCATTGCAGAAAACAGTAGAACCTTATTGTGCCAAAAACATATACATGAACCCTATCTTAGCATATCATCATCGATACATTCAGGATATTTATCTTCAGTATCATTCAGACAGGATTAGTTAAACATGGAGAAGTAATGTAATTTGTTCATGACCAATTCCAACCGAATAAAGAATCTCTGTATAATTTATAGAGATGTGAATTCCACATCACAGTCACACTAAAAAAGTACTACACATAATATGTTTGGTTGCTCACAAGTATAAAACATATCCAAACATCTCATCCTAACCATCTACCACCTACTCATCTGTCTTAAGTCAATGTGTCATTAGCACTGACATTAGCTTGTGAATTTAGAGCAAACGGTCAAGATCCACATAAAAATTAAATGCTTTCCTGTCATTTCACACGTTCGAATGTTCCGAGTCGTACACTTGAGGTAGGACTATATATATATTGGCTTGATTTGGGCCGCAGAGAACACAACTAAATGCCACAAGAGTCTCCATACATACATTATAAGATTAATTTATCCTGGATATTTTCACGCTGCATATACATACATACATACTTCATCTAAACCACTTATCCTTCTGGGTCGCGGTGGGGTGCTGGAGCCTATCCCAGCTGTCATTGGGCGGAAGGCAGGATGCACCCTGGACAGGTCGCCAGTCCATCGCAGGGCAACGCTGCATATATGTATTATGATATTTGGTTTTTAAAACGCTATCAAAAACTATGAGTACAATGGTATTCCTTTAATATTTTACATGCCATGCTACAGTAAATCACTAAAAAAGCACTAATTATACTCTCTTTGTAATAAATCATGCAGTTGTTCAGTGTTCTTTAAACAGTGACAATGCTCACAACATACACAGAAAAGCAAACTGTGACAATTTATCATGATAATGATGATATTTTAACATTTTGCCCATCTCTACTGGCTTTCACTTTATAATAGGTAAAAGCTGCAGGAATCTATACTGCACAGTAGGTGTGAGTGATATAGCAAACATCAAAATTCTTGAAAATGTTTTCACGATACACAATATGTATGATGATATAAGGTTTCTGTATAGGTGAAAAAGATAAGTCTGATAAGACAAAGTGCCACGTTTAAAAAAATACCGTTAAAAACAATGAATGTGATGATTATAGATTACACAAAGACTTTAATTAAATCCAATTAAACAGGACTACTTATGCTCTCTTCGTAATGAACCATGCAGTAGGCCAGTGTTCTTTATGTACTGACAATATCCACAATCTGCATACTGTGACATCATTACTAATCCTAGTCTAAATAGGGTTTTTTCTCCGAGAGCAGATGACCGCAGATGGCAGACACCCTAGTGTAGTAAGTGTATGTGCACGTCAACACTGGATGCGCTGTGATATTTTCCTAATGAGCATTCACACAAGAATGCAGTTCACATCGCTAAGGAAAAATGCTTACTATTGATTTGTTTCATCAGATTAAGAATAAAAGGCTACTGATGTATGGAAGATATGGACTATAATTTGATCATTTTCTCTTCATATCAAAGTAAATGAGACATCATTGAAACATCATGTTATGAAAGTTGAAGAGTAGATTAAATGGCATAAATATCTGCTTTTAGCCTCAACAGTAAAGACTTAAATACAATATGAAAGATTAAAACAACACAAAGAGTTTACAAATTAAAGTGTGAAGCGTAATTTATCATGAGCTTTAAAGACAAATATAGGGCCAATAAACACAGCCAATATGTTCATGAAAGGCTGACATCTGAAGTAATATTCTGATGTGCTTTGACAGAATGAGCTTTGTCTTTCCTGAAAGCTATAAAACTCTGCGATTTGTATGGCAAGGAAAGTAACACCTTGTCGGTCTGTCTCTCTCCTCGGTCTAAGCCATTTGGTATAAAGAATGTAGAGATCAGATGGTGCAGATTAAATATGAAGTACCAGACGACAGTATTTACAGAGAGAGGTACACAGTGAGAAAAAGAAAACAGAGTAGGGGGATGGACAGGAGAGTGAGAGGCAAAGAGAAAGTGGGGTGAGAGAGAAAAAGGTGTGCAAAAAGACAAACAGTGAAGGCACAGAAAAGAGGACAGGGCTAACCCGTCAGACGGCTGCTGCCCTTTGGTCATGCATCAGCCCCTGCCGCTCTCTTAGCTGCTGCGACAGAAACAGGTGAAAGCAGGGGAAGGGAGGTGAAAGGAGAGCTGCTGAAGCTTGCTTTCGCACAATTCGCACAACTCATACTCGCGCTCTCTCACTTTCACAGAGGACAAACACACACTTTTGTCAACCTGAAATCAAAACACTAACATTTAACATTATACGTTATTAGTTATTAGTCGTATTGAGCAAGAATCGGCATATCGTCTCACATCTCACCAAACATCTAAAAGATCTTCT